GAGAGAGAGAGAGAGAGAGAGAGAGAGAGAGAGAGAGAAGGAGAGAGAGAGTGGGGACAAGATGGGAATCCCCATTAAATATGTAACGAAGTAAACAATACTTTGGACAGTGAATCAGGTCTATACAAATAACAGAGGACATCTATTACAGAGTTTCAACGAGTCACAAATAAACACTACCAGGAAAATCAAAGGAGAAACAATTTTCGTTCAGAGGGAGAATTTACACGCGGGCCAAAAGGAACATTGTAGAAGACTATAGCTTTAGGAATTCAACAGTCTTCAAACAAACTTTTCTGATGTTCACTATCTACACTTTCCCCTTGCTTTTTTTTAACCAGACTCAGATTAAAGAAGTTTAATTAATCATAATGAGCACAAATTAAGTTGCCAGAGACATAAATGAATAATTTACAGAAGATTGTTTGGCAGTAATCTAATAATAGTTTTTAAAGACCAGTGAACACAGTGGGCAGCTCCTTTCCTAAGCATTAACACTTCAGAGGAAAACGAGAATTATAACCACAGTAAAAATATATTATATATAATATACAGTGTAAATGCAGAAAAATCTGCCATCTCTCTCTTTTTTAAAATCAAAATACTTTTGAGATGTCTCTATCATGTTAGGGGTCAAACTCTAGTTTAAAGTTTCAGTCCTGACACAATTTTAATTTTCTGAAAAATAGCTGCAAAGTGTAATTTTTAACTCGAACATGGGTAATGTCTTCAAGAATTAAAAACAAATCTTACTTGATCGTTCTTCAGTCTTTTAAAAAGAATTTTATATCTGCCTTGAGTCAGTGTCAGAGTACTTGAAAGAGCAGGGTGCCTTTCTAGGGGATGTGGAGAGGGACAACATCGTTAAACTTGAAAATTCAAGTCTGGTTTTCTTTTTTTCCTGTTTCTTAACACCCCCCCCCCCCCAGTTTCACCAGGCTTATTCAATAACTCTTTCTCTTTTTCTTTCTCTGGTAGAATCAGACACTGAAATAATTTCTTGTCGATAAGTAAGAAGGGAAAAGATGGGGAGAAGAAGTGAGGTGGAGGGAGGAAGAGACTGGGATCGGAAAAAGGGAAAGAGTCCCAAGAGAGATCAAGGGCCTTTCAAATCCCAGCCGAATATTTCATCCTTTTCTGTTTCTGCCTCTGGTTGCAGAACCAGACCCGCACCACATTTTTCTTAAGATCGAGTTTCTCTGCAATGGCGGCAATTTTCTCAGAGGAGGGGCGAGGCTGGATAGCGAAATAGGCTTCGAGGGAACGCTTCTCAGGAGCAGCTATGGACGTGCGCTTCCTCTTCTTCTCAGCCCCATTGAAGAGCTCAGGTTTGGTGAGCTTTTCTCGATGAGACTTTTCTGCCTCTTCTAGCCAAGCCTGGAGGATGGGCTTGAGGGCGATCATGTTGTTGTGGGATAGGGTGAGGGACTCAAACCTACAGATGGTGCTCTGGCTCAGCGAGCCCACTCCGGGGATCTTGAGGTTGGCCAGAGCGGACCCCACGTCCGCTTGGGTCACCCCCAGCTTGATGCGCCGCTGCTTGAAGCGCTCGGCGAATGCTTCCAAGTCCCGCGGGTCGGCGTCCACGTCGCTCATGCAGCCCATGTGCGAAGGAAGCCCGTGTGCGTGGGCCATGCTGAGAGCCGCCTGGTGCATAGGATTCATGGTGGCCATGTGCGGGGCGTGGGCGGGCGTGGACACCACCGATCCGTCGGGCCCCGTCATGGCCCCCAGAGCCAGCCCCGGCGTGATGTGATCCAAAAGCTCCCCCTCCAGCGCCTGGTGCGGTTGGTGATGGTGGTGGTGGTGATGGTGGTGGTGGTGGTGGGTGCCCGACAGGGCAGAAGGATGCGAGATGGGCACGGAAGACGACGACGCAGAGGAGGTGCACGGGATGGTGTTCATGGTGTGGTAAGTGGCGTCTGGCTTGAAGGGGCTGTGATGCGGCGCGTGGTGATGGTGGCTTTTGGTCTGCGAGACGATGTCCACGGCCGCCAGAGCTTCCGCGCGGGCCAGCAAGCTCTCATCCAGACCACCGAAGATGTTGCTCTGTAATTGCAAGTAGAAGGCACACATTACTGACTACAGGGAATTGGGCTCTCCTCCCCACACCACCTCCTCCAGTGTTCCCGCCTGACCGCCCGCTGCCGCCAGCCAGCCAGCCCAACTAAACCATCTCTGGAAGATTAGGAAAGAAAAAAAAAATCCTGGTAAAAAAGAGAGGAGAAGGAGGAGTGCGGTAGAGAGAGAATCAGAGAGTGGAGGAGGGAAAGAGAGCGCCGAGAGACTACCCAACACCCAACACAACACAGCACACACAGAGAGGCAGCATCCCAGGTCATAAAAATTAATATGAAAGACCAGATCCACTGAATACATAAGTTGAGGGTGAGAAGAAAAGAGAGAAGGAGAAAAAGAGAGCGAGGGGGGAAAAATTGGAGGTGTGGGGTGATTTGCTGTGCAGACATGAAAAAAACATCAAGCAGATAAAGGGGGCTGTCAAAACGTGCCTTTAAGCGGTGATTATGCAGAATACATACCGGTGGGGTGGGAAGACAAGCTCGCCTCATGGCCTCGGAACCTCCTCCGCCCCCGCTGCCTCCGCCGCCGCCGCCTCCACCGCTGCTGCCGCTGCTGCCGCTGCTGCTACTCCGGCCCCCGCTGCCTCCACCGCCGCCCCCGCTACTGGTATTGCTAGGAGAGCTGGACGAAGGCGCCGCCGAGGAAGAGGTACAAGGAGAAGCCGAGTGCAGCGCTGAATATTTGGGCTCAACATGCAGGCTGCCGCCGTGAGGCATGCTGAAAGCCTGCTTGCTGTTCAGAGACATCATCATCATCTTCCCTGCAGCCCTGGAGAGCGAGCACCCTCCACCAGGACGCGCCGACGATGCCCGGAGCCGGGAGAGGCAAGGGAAAAGTTCGGGTGGCGGCCAGCAGGCTCCGCTTGGAGACCTGGGTGTCGCTTTGGGGCAGCGCGGGTCGCCTCCTCTCCTACGGCTGCCGCTGCCTCTTGGTTCTCCCAGGCTCAGCTCCGCTCTGGCTTCAGCCTTTTCCTCTCGCAACTGCCCCCCAAGCCTCTGGCCGGCCGCGGTGTTATACTTCCCTCGCTCCCCCTCGCCTTCCCCCTCGCTCCCCCTCCTCCTCTCTTCCTTGCCAAGCTCCTACAAGGTTTGTTCCTTTTCCCCTTTCTCCCTCCTTTTCTCCCTCTGGGCTCCGAGTCTCTCTTTCTCTTTCTCACACCCCAACCCCCCACCCTCAACCCCCGCCTTCTGCTGTCACCAACACTACCACCGACTGCCTCCTCCTTTCTCCTCCTCCTTCTCCGCCTGCGCTGTTGATCCCAATGCTTCTGGGCTGGCCCCCTCCCTGACTCCCACCCCCACCCACCCCGATCTCCCCACTTCTCACCCTACCCCAGGCCCCTCCCCGTTTCCCAAGAAAGCACCAATACCGCTGGGAAATGCCCTAGGCGACTGCCACCGGTCCTCCTCTGTACCTTCCCCGCGGCTCCCCTCCCCCCTCACCCCCCCCAGTCCCTTTACTCAAGTAGGAAGAAACTCTGCAATGAAGTTGCCTCTGGAGCCAATAGAGATGGGCTTTCCCTCTCTCCCACAGTTAACACCCAGCACTCTCTTCCCAACCCAAGTACCAGGTTCTCGCCCGCCCCTCGACACTGACTGACTCCGGTTCCCGGTCCCCAGTGGAATGAACAGTTGGAGTAGCTGCCAACCAGCCCGTTCTCCTCCCTGCTCTCCTCCGTTCGCTCTTTTGTGCAACCGCCGCTACTGCCTCAGTCTCGAAGCTCAGTCCCGCGCACCTTCACCCAGGCAGGTGCCTTGTGCGGAAGAGACATCGGGGTATTTGGGTTGTGAGTCTTTCTCTCTCCCTCAGTTTCTAACTGCTCTCAGCCCATTGGACAGCGGCAGGTCGGGCCCTGGGTGAGAGTGCGCATGCGACTACCCCCCTCCCTTTTCAGCATCCCCCCCACATACACAGAGCGCGCCTCGCTTCCCTCCCCCCCTTTTCCTCCTCCTCCTCCTCCTCTCCCGTTTCTAGTATAGTGAATGTGAATCTCGTGTGGATACGCTTGAAAAACCTTTCACTGGATTTATTATTCTTCATTAACCACAATAAAAGGGGGGAGGATTGGCTACGGGGGAGAGGGGAACCAAAGATACTACATAGCGCATGTGTTGAATACTCCCCGGGTTCCTCCTACACACACACACACACACACACACACACACACACAATCACCACACCACACACACACACACACACACACATACGCACGCACACACATCACGTACCCCTTGGGGGCTAGCACAAACCCCACTTATCTTCATTCCTACCGTTACATCCAGCAGTTAGCTCCTATTTTTAGGGGATATCCTGCCGGCACTTTTTTTTTTTGCCGGGGGGTGGGGTGGGGTGGGGTGGGTATTGGGGCTGGAACTTCTGGGCTTAGACGCAGTCCCTTCTCTGAGAAGTGGACAGACTTCTAGTTCTAGTTGCAAAAGTAGGTGTGCTATCCCACCCCACTGCCTCGCCTCTTCACCCCCATCTTCCACGGTGTTTGGTTGGGAGTTATTGGGGATGGGAGAGTAAGCTAAGTCTCCTCCCAGGTCCTTTCACAGGGTGGAGGGAGAGTGTAGTAAAAGGCTCAGGGCTCACCGGGTGAGGGAGTGCTGGGCAGGAATAGCCCAGCGGGCAAGGCGTCAGGGTAGCCGGGAGCAGGTGCAGGCGCAGCGCCTAGGGAGTGGCGAGCAGGTGCTGAAGCAGGAGGCGCAGCTCGGGGAAGCGCCCGCGCTGGCGCTGGGGCAAAAGTGGGAGCTGGAAGGTATCGGGCGCCGCGCGGGAGGGAGGCAGGGCGGACGGGACGCACCCTGGAGGAGCAGGAGAGGTCCGGTCCGCCACTCCTCTGGTGCCTCCCGGAGTGCAGGACTGAGCCCTGGCTAAGGAGAGCATAGCTTTTCAGACCCCATGTCTTTTCCCACCTCTTTAGACCAGAGCAGGTTAAAGTTTCATTCCCAGTAAGCCTCCTCCTGAGGTTGGCTGGCAGCAGCTTAGGGCTCCTTCTGATTCCTCCACCTGGGCTCTGGATCCAAACGAATTTCACTTCCTGCGCTGTCGGCCGCCTTAGTTTGGTTGGTTGGTTGGTTTGTTTCCCTTTTCCCTGTGTGGGCTAAGTGCATTAGACATACAGCCAAGGGAAATTCTGCTGGCTGTCTGGTGGGGCCGCGCGTGCAGGCTGAGCTGGGGTGAACGGCAGGGCCCGGGGCTGTTGACATGAATGAACCTGGCTCGTGCCGGCCTCCTACAAATATGTGCTTAGGTGTTTAATTTCGACCTAAACTGGAGCCCATGTAATTTTCAAGGAAATAAGGGAGGAAAATGACATTGTACAGCTCTCACTGTCTCCAGCTTCGAGAAATGAAATAAATCAAAGTTAAAAGCTTGAGTATCATTTAATTATAGTGTGAATAGCGCTTTGAAAGAAGTAGAACAACATCTCTAAACAAATTATGACCGGGCCAGGAAGGAATTATTAGATTGAAATTTCATTTAGGCTCGGGAGACACCGCGCTTCACTGTGTAATCTGCTACGCCTCATCTGATTTGTATGCTTAATTCAGCTTGACGAATTTATTAGTTTTCATAATAGTGAAAAAATGGAGCTGCGCTATGGGCTAATGCATTGTGTGTACTATAAATTGTATGTCATCGGTGAAAGACTGAAGTCTATAGAAATCTTTTATTAATGACGGTATAGGAAGAAGGATTTTCTTGCCAGTCTCAGAGAGAGGTTCATGCCAAAGCCCGATGCTGGTTGTCTTGCTAGCCTTATTAACATATCGCCATACTAATTAGGCTACTTCATCAATGATATAATTTCAAACTTTAAATTAAGTTCTAATTAAAAGAGTTGTCCAATTTGCTTAATCTTCAAAAGGCTTTGCTAGGTCTAATTAATGAACTGTTGAGCGTCTCTGATGTGGAATAGAAGAAAATCCATAAAAATGTGTGCCTCTGTATGTGGTTTTATTTGGACTTGTATGAAGTCCAAATTAAATAAGTTGGTCAGGGAAGGGAAACAGTTGCCAGATGCCCTCATTCACCCAAACCCAGTTCCTTGTATTAGAAGACTCAATAAACTGAATTTCAAAATCTGGATGTTAACACAACTTGTGTGTGATTTTGTCTAGAAGGAGAACATTGTGGAGAACAACAGAAAAAGTCTGCTCTCCCATTAGGTGCCTAATTAGATGTAAAGGAAACAGCAACCCTGAAATGTTTAATGAACATTTTTTTTCCTTGGCAAAGCACTCCACGCTGAACTTGGAGACCAAAATCAAATATTTGGGGGTGTTGGAAACCTCTCCTCCCCTCCCCCTTCATTGAGCTTAATTACTTGCAATAGTTGTTTTAATGTATGTTGTCACCTGGGAGTGTTGAGAAATGCATATCGTTAATATGAATTAATCTTGATTTTAATAGTAACTGACAACTGATCTCCAAAATGCTAAACACTTGTCACCGCTTCCTATGGTAAATAAGGTATTATAATAAATTCATGAAATAAAGAGACCACTGGTGAAGGAACTGGACAAACTTTGTTTGATGCGGAATGGCTTGACGAAAACCACTTTAATCCAATAAACTCCAAGGAGTGCCTTTCCGAAAGGGCCACAATCGGTATTTCCATACAAGTCATGTTGGTAATTTCAGTTATTCTTTTCACAGATGGCCTTCTCCCTGGAAGGTGGTGGGGAATTAATAGTCAAATTATATGAGATGAAAATCATTCTTGTTTGACTAGCAATCCTAGAGTTTATTCGCCTGTTATTCCCTGACCCCCTAAAATATACTTTTTTAAAAATCAAGTTACAAAGTCAGATTCTTCCCTTTCTCACTCAAAGTGAAAAATGAACAGCAGTGCGCAGAAGTGACTCCTATGCTGCATAGGAGGGAAAATGCAATCTTCTCCCAGCCCCGCGACTTGCGATCTCTGCCTCATTGCAAGAGTGCCCAGAATACCAACACGCTCCCAGTGATATCGATAAAACAATGCATCGAGAGTTTGCTCACAAACATCTCCCCAAAGTGCATCCGCTTATTTAGAAACTCTGCTCAATCGCTGAGATACATGCCCCTAGAAAGTTTCAGAATAAAGCGAAGAGGCTTGGACCAGCATCCCAACCCCAGTGAACTTGACCTACAAAGCTTTCGAGCTTAATTGACTACCTGTCCATAGCAAGCATACACAAATGGCTCGACATTCCTCTCCTCCTAGTTACTGAACGTAGAAAGTGCAAGTGATTTGTTTTTGTTTTGACTCAAAGAAACGGGAAAAGGTTCAATTGCCTCACTTTCCAGGGAGAGCCTCCATGCCCTGCCGAACTATTGTTTGACAATAGCTTCTGGCTTAGTCCCCTGCGAGCTACAGACAGATGTGACCCCGAGGGCGTCCCCGAGCAGATCCAGGAGAGGCTGGGGAAGGTTTGAGTTGGTGTCACTGGCCTTCTCTCCCTCCCTTCACCCCCTGAAGCCACTTTGGAGCAGGCTTCCTGGACAGTGAGCTGCCTCCTTAAGAGCCTGCCCCACGGGTGTCCAGAACCTGGAGGAAAACATTCTCGTCTTCTTTCCCGTATCGGTGTTCAGATTTTTTATTAAATTAAAAACAGATGTAATATTTTACTAAACCTGATGCATTTTGGGGACAAAAAATAATCCATTAAGGACACTGATTTTGTTTTGTTTTGTTTTAGACAGAGCCGAGTGAAATTGAGAGGAGAATCTCTCTAAGAGGACACTTTCTATCGAATTTGTATTTCAA